CAGTCATAAGCAACTTAGTCAGGAAAAGGCATTTGGTTATAACAAAATTTCTATTAGCTAAATTTATTTTCATTCATTCAATCCCAGTACACATGAGCTAGTTTCAGAATTGCAAGTCAATACCAGGGTGAAAAACACATTTACTGTCTGGAGTACAGTGCTTATATAGTTTTCATTTTTGTTTTTTTTCTACCCTTTCTTCTTATAATGTATAGTCAAATAGGTAAGTGACACCATCAAAGAAAGAATTTACAAATGCACAAAAAGGAAAGTCTATAATGAATCCTGTGGTGCTAGAGTTGGAGATGTTTCTATTAAATGTGTATTAAGACTCATTGTTATTCAGTCACTAAGTCATACCTGACTCTTTGCAACCTCAAAGACTTGCAACACACCATAGGAGCCACAGTTTTAGGGGACTGCCACACTTTCTTGGATTTTACCCGTAAAACACCCTAGTAGGTTCTCACAGTGAAGATCTGAGAAAGAACTATCTTGGTTCTCACAGGGGAGGGAAAGAGAAATATTTGTAACAATTGCTAGTAACAAATAGTACCAATTATTGGTAACAAATAATACTAATTATTAGTAACAAATAATACTAACAAATAGTAACAAACTTCATTTGGAACTCCATTTTCTTCAAAGTCTTACTCACTGCAACTTGGATATTTTTGTTCCTCAAACTGTAGATGAAAGGATTCACCATTGGCCCCACAATGGTGTAAAAAACTGTGGACATTTTATCTTCATCCAGAGACCTAGCAGGAAAAGGCTTGAGATGCATGAATGCGGCTGATCCAAAGAAAAGAGAAACCATGATTATGTGGGAGCTGCAGGTACTGAAGGCTTTGGATCTGCCCTCTGCAGAACGGATGTGGAGGATGTTGGAGAGGATCAAGGTGTAAGAAATGGAGATGGTGACACTGGGCACTATGACATCGACACCCACCACAATGAAAACCACCAGCTCGTTGATGGAGGTGCTTGTGCAGGAGAGCTGGAGGAGAGGAGGAATGTCACACATGTAGTGATTGATGATGTTTCCATCACAGAAGGAGAATCGCAGCACGCACCCAGTATTGGCCATGGCACCCACAAGCCCCATCATGTATACACCCACCGTCAGCATGAGGCAGACCTGATGGGACATGGAGACCTTGTAAAGCAGGGGCTTACAGATGGCCACGTATCGGTCATAGGCCATTGACGTCAAAATACAGCACTCATCAATAACAAAGAAGGAGAAGAAGCAGAGCTGAGTCATGCACTCTGCATAAGAGATGATGTTCTGGCTCACAAAACTCATCAGCATTTTAGGAGTAATGACAGAGGAGTGGCAGAGATCAAGGAAGGAAAGATTGAAGAGAAAATAGTACGTGGGAGTGTGCAGGTGAGGGTTCAGGCCAATAAGAATAATCAAGCCAACGTTCCCCACCACAGTGACCACATAAATTGCTAAGAAAATGAAAAAGAGAGGCAGCTGGAGTTCTGGCTCCTGTGTTAAACCCAGCAGGATGAACTCGGTCACTGAAGAGTCATTCTCTGGGGCCATTCTTCCCTAGGACATACCTGGAGAGCAGGACAGAGGGTGACGTTAAAATGAGCGCCCCGCTCTCTCCACCCAGCCCCACTCTAGTGAGAGAGACCCAGAATGCGAGAAGGAACCCCAGCCCACCCTTCTGTGCCTTTGTTTTCTCCTCTGTATAAAGGCTGAGGGAATTTTTAAAGATGTGTATCAAAAACAGTAACAGGCAAGTTCTGCAGGGATAAGATTGAGTAACCCTGGGACCTCTTGACAGCAGCCTCTCTGCTCCACTTCTGCTCTGACAGTTTACCAGGCCCACCCAATAATAGTGATCATCTCAGCAGAGAGAAGGCGTGTCATTTCAGATAGTCCTTTGCTTCTATAGATGAGGTTTGGAAGATGAGTAACAGGACAGATAAAATTCAACACTCACCCTTCCGTATGGAGACTTCAGTATTGGGACTTGCTACCTCTGCTTCGTTATACTCAAGGAAAAGCAAGTGGTTATGATGAATTTTAGAAACAAACAACCCAGAACAGAGATTCTTCTTCTTTGCTATTGTTTTTGTTGTGAGTGCATTTTGGACTGAGAGAGTCAGAGCACAGACCTCGGTACACCAGGCTCTGAGGTGCCATGAGTTACAGGTCTTGATTTTTGATGGTAGCTCTGCCAGAGTGTTCTCTCCAGCCTAGGGGGTGGATATAACATCTGCTGGTGGGCAGGGAGCACCTGCTAATATGACCTAGAGGTTATTGAATTGAGAAATCCTAGAGACCTGATTAAAACTTAGAAGTCTTAGGTTTTCATTGTGTTTTCCCCAGAGACCATGATTTGCAGCAAAGAGAAATTATCTACCCTGCATTTAAGCTGAGGTCACTATAACAATAATATTTTGGAAGTAACCCATTTTCCATACATTTTGGTTTGTTGCCAAATGGGACACATCCTCAAATAGAAAAGCAGGTGACCTTTCCTGAATACACAGTACCTACCCCTCTATGAAATACTAACCACTTGTTTATTTAGTTTGTTTTACCACAACACATGCATTCATATGCTCACTTGCATTTGAATCTAAGTTCCATAGGGGCAGAGATTTTGTCTATTTTGTTCAGCGTTATTTTTGTAGCAACTTAGAGTAACACCTGGCATATGCAGTAGGTACTGAATAAATATTTGCTTAATAAACACTGAAGAAATGATAATCCCTTTCCCCCACGTTTCTTGGGACCAATTGTAGATATTAAAATAGAATTGTTCCCTTTTCTCCACACCCTCTCCAGCATTTATTGCTTGTAGACTTTTGGATAGCAGCCATCCTGACTGGCGTATAATGGTACCTCATTGTGGTTTTGATTTGCATTTCTCTGATAATGAGTGATGT